CTTTAGCCACCATCTGCTCTGCACTTAGGTTTTGTGATGCAAATTATAAAAGCCATATTAGCTCAGATATTTCATTAACGATTTGCGGGACTAGACTAGTGCAGAGGGGGGAAAAATTCTCATTTGCACGTTAATCAAAATAAAGGCTGGGAGCTAATAAAACTCCTCTGGACCATTATACATGCATGAAACAGTAGAGTAGGGCCTGAAATATATTTTACAGAGTTTTTCCTAAGTGGGCTAAGCTGCTTTTTTAATATATTACTCATTTGAATGGCTCCTGCTGGTATTTTCAGAATCCATTCCCCGAGTTAAAAACAAACTGAAATGCTTTTACGCATACTGGGGACCATTCAACCACTCCTTAGACAAATGAAGGCACTGTCTGTCCCCCACCCCCTAGTCCCTGGGGCACCTGGGACTACCCCCTGCCTCCCCACAGAAGCCTAGCCCAGATCACTTAGGGCTCCAGGCCTCCATCACCTATTACTTTAATAACTTAAGGCAAGTTTCTTTGCCCTAAGACTTTGTTTTCTCATCTGTGAAATGGGAACAATTGTGCCTGTGGCAAAACAACACATGTGGAATAGTGCTTGGCACATACTGGTTAATAAATGGGATTTCTTTGAAGCACTGCCTCTCCTCCGGGACTAGCCAAGTGGTACTGAGTGCTTTACAAATAGATGTACTGACTAGGGGCACCTGGGTGGCTCAATAGGTTAAGGGGTCTGACTTCGGCTCAGGTCATGATCTCAGGGTCCAGGGAGTCTGCTTCTCCCTCTCCCTCTGCACCACCCCCCCACTCCTGCACTCATGCTCTGGCTCCCTCTCTCTCTCTTTCTCTCTCAAATAAATAAAATAAAAAATTTTTAAAAAGTGTACTGACTAAAAAAACCCATTAAGTCCTTCTCTTTCACCAGTGGGCCCCCAGTGCAAGACAAGCCCAGGGCCTGGCATGGTGAGTTGGGTGAATGACACCTGCATTCACACTCAGCCACTCCTACATCTACCTTCAACACCCATTTGGCGAAGGCTGCGCACTAAATCCCCCGGCGGGCATTCAATATACAGTCGCCCAGGCCCTCTCCCCAGAGATTCTGATGCAATTGATGTGAGGTGGAGCCTAGATGTTGATGTTAATTTTTTTAAGCATACCAAGTGACCCTAGTCTGCTGCCAGCATTAAGCACAGATCTAAACCTACAAGTTGCCCCCAATGGTGTGTTCCCCTCTTGTAGGGAAGAGGCTGGGGGCTTTAAATTCCAAACGCCTCAAAGGCACTGTAATTTTGCCTTACATGCTAGCCTAGGTAAATCAGATGTCATACGCAACCTGAGTTTCCTTGTGTCCAATGATAAACTTAGACCAGGTGTCCTAGGAAGACAAAATTCAAAGAACAAATCATCATTGGGGTTTCTTATGGGCTGAATTGTGCCCCTCCCCCCAGATTAACAGGTTGAAGTCCTAACCCCCAGTACTTCAGCATGTGACTGTATTTGGAGATCAGGTCTTTAAAGTGATAATTAAGTTAGAATGAGGTCATTAGAGTGGGCCCTGACCCAGGGTGACTGGTGTCCTTATAAGAACATATACACACACAGAGGAAAGACCATGTGAGAGTTGCCCCAGAAGAAACCACCCCTGCAGACACCTTGACGTCAGACTTCCAGACTCCAGAACTGTGAAATAAATTTCTGGCATTTATGACACTCAGTACTTTGTTATGTACTAAGTACAATGGTACCTACCACTGGAAGTGCGAAATAACACCTGAATTATCTTTCTTTGGGCGATTCAACCCAAGGCCTCTATCTGGGCATCCCATGCTCTCCATGGCTTCTGCTTTAGGCCACTCCTCCCCTTCAGGGCGCAGCCAGCTCTGTCAACTCTACCCCATCTCTCCCCCTCCCGCTAGCCCCCTCATCTAGAGGTTCGCTCTTCCTCCAGTTGAGAGTGGCGGGGACCCCTGCCTGTGATCACATGCCCTAGGCAGCATGTGCACCTCTTAGGTTAGCAACTCACTTCTTAATCTACGCCTCTGCCAGGTACTGTGTGGGGACTTTACCTATCCTATAGTGGTTCATGCCCAGACCTCTCCAGAAAGGTGTCCCACTTCCTCGGAGGGGGAAAGTGAGGCTCTAAAGACAAGTCTACAGCTCTGACATCCCAAAGTCTCTAACTCCGTCCTGCCTCCCCACGACTTGGGCTCCCCCCATCACCAAGCCCCCCACTCCACAAACTATAAAGTGAAGCAAACACGTGGGTCTTTTCGCCTCGTTCTACACGTTCCACACACCCAGCCCCACAGACGTGGCTAGCAAACCAGTAGGCATGCACTGGGTGAACAGGTGTGCAGCGCTCCCCCTGGCAGCCTTGTCTAATATATCTGGCATCACCCCACTTCCCTGCTTCCCGTCCTTCCTCCACTGACGCCAAAGGAATTCCAGACTCCCCAGCATCCCACCTTCTCGCACGCGAGGTTCTAACTGCTCCCCACAGCACCCTGTGCTTTCCTACAGGGTCCTTTCTCAAACTATTAGGCCCCCCAAGGATTTTTTTTTTTTTAAGATTTTATTTATTTGACAGAGAGAGACACGGCGAGAGAGGGAACACAAGCAGGGGGAGTGGGAGAGGGAGAAGCAGGCTTCCCGCGGAGCAGGGAGCCCAACGCGGGGCTCGATCCCAGGACCCTGGGATCGTGATCTGAGCCAAAGGCAGACGCTTAACGACTGAGCCACCCAGGCGCCCCTAGGCCCACAAAGGATTTAGCAAGAAGCTTGTCGATTTCTTAAATTCACCTGGCCTTCAGGGCTTCTCTGATGGGTGAGAATTGCTGAATGCACATCAAACTGACTCCTGACTGGTGATCATAGGCCTGAAGGCAGCATCAGCATCTGCCTCTGCATGGACTGGGGCCCCCTGAGTGCTCACTGGAAATGCAGAATCTCAGGTCTGGCTCACACTGAATCAGGATCTGCATTTTAGGAAGACCCCTGAGCCAGGTTTCTCAACCCTGACTGCACACAGAATCCTCTTGGGGAGCTTTAAACTTACTGGTGCTTAGGTGCCACCCCGGAGACTCCTGCAGCCCTAGTGATGCTATCGTGCAGCCTCAAGGCCATCTGCAGGTTCCAATCAGGGGCCTCCAGGAGGCTTAGAGGTAAGGCTGAGAGACGGGTACCTAGAGTGCAAACCAGGGATAGAGAACTGGCAGCCTCTGAACGTTTCAGGAGGAACGTCACGCTCCAGTGTGCCATGTGTCATACAGACAGACCTGTCTAGCCCCTGCCAACACTTTAACCAGAAACCCCCACCCAGACCAATAAGCACCGCCACTGGTAAAAGCAGACTCCCTGTAACCGCCCACACGTTCAGTCATGAACCACCATGCACTACAAGGTAACTCACTGGAACCTAGGGGTGGCAGGAAGCCACAGAGAACCACGGCATTTAAAAGTTCATTCCTGGGGCACCTGCAGCTCAGTCAGGAGAGCCTGCGACTCTCGATCTCAGGGTTGTAGGTTCGAGCCCCATGTTGGGTACAGAGATTACTTAGAAATAAAATATTTAGGGACACCTGGGTGGCTCAGTTGGTTAACCGTCTGCCTTCAGCTCGGGTCATGGTCCCAGGGTCCCGGGATCAAGCCCCGCATCAGGCTCCCTGCTCGGTGGGGAGCCTGCTTCTCCCTCTGCCTGCCACTCCCCCTGCTTGTGCTCTCTCTCTCACTCTCCCTGATAGATAAATAAATAAACAAATAAATAAATAAAATACTGAAAAAAAAAGAAATAAAATATTTTAAAAAATAAAAATAGGGGCACCTGAGTGGCTCAGTCGGTTAAGTGTCTGCCTTAGGCTGAGGTCATGATCCCAGGGTCCTGGCATCAAGCCCCGCATCGGGCTCCCTGCTCAGGGGGGAGTCTGCTTCTCCCTCTCCCTCTGCTGCTTCCCCTGCTTGTGCTCTTTCTCTCTCTGTCAAATAAATAAATAAAATCTTTAAAAATAAAAATAAATAAATAAAAGTTCATTCCCTTTGACACAGCAATCCACCTCTAGAGACCTCCTCCACGACAGACTGTATAAATATAAAGCAGACACAAGCTTTGTTTAAAGAAGGAAAAACTGGAAACAACCCAAGTGTCTCCCAATATGAAATTATAATATATCCACATGACAGTCCTCACAGACTGAGATAAACTTGTAATTACTGACATAGAAAAGCCTCCAGAATACTATGTTCAGATAAAAAAAGAAAAAAAAGTTGCACAATACCATGCATAATGAGGATACTTTAATAAAAATGGTAAATACCAGTATAAGCACAGGAAAAAAGCAATTATTGTCAAAGGTGAGAAGGGAGTATATAATAAGAGACTTTCTTTTTATAATTTCTATATTTCTATCACCAAAGACGCTGAAATGCTCTTAGAAAACAGATGCAGGAAAGCAAAAACATTCTCAAAGAGCTTAAAAATGTTAGGTAATCAGAGACAGTGCCATCATAACAGATGCTTAAATAGAGGGTTTACTTTAAATTTAAAGAAAAACTGAAAATAAACTTTTCTTACAAATTGTATCACTTAAAACATAATTTGGGAATGTTAAACACTAATTCCTAACTAAAAATGACATTTATAGGATACACCCTGGTGCTGGCCAATATGAGGTTTCCTTAAATCCTAGTATTTCATATAAGCTTAACCATTAATCCTTCCTAAAACTCAATGATTATAATTTAACTTTATAAGGTTAAGCAAGTCTTCCATGTACTATCCCATGTAACTTTTTCAAATACAAAACATTTGTTCAGTAAGGAAACTATAAAAACATATAAATTATACTGCAGGGCTTGATGAAAAGGCTCTCTATATACAGGTAGATAGAGTTCATCTTAGAAAGAACACACGCACAAAGAAACTTAATCATACAGAGATGCCATTCCATTCTCTTACAGGTGTGTTACACAGCACACTGCGTGTTTATAAATACCATTCAATTGTGCATGAACTGAAAAAAGAAGTGTGTATTAAAAAAAAGTCCGTGAAGACACCGGGGAGTGGCGCGTGCCTCAGAGAGGTACAAGAACGCTACAGAGCTCACAAGAACTGCTGGCTCCAGCCGGCTCAGGGCACCACTGGGAACGGCTCCTCCCCTCAGAAAGACAGGATGGTCTTGTTAACGATCTCCACCGACTCCTGAACCTCACCCTCTTTGATCACAAGCGGAGGGGCAAACCTGATGATGTCACCGTGGGTCGGCTTGGCCAGGAGTCCATTATCTCGAAGTCGTAGACACACCTTCCAAGCATCATAATCTAAAGAAAAATGGCCAAACATGCATGCTGATGAAAGACAAATGTTTGAGCATCCCCTTGCAGTACAGATGGGCTAGAGCCACCTGGCAGAAGAAAACTCCCAGGGCCTACTAGAGAAAGACGTTCAGAGTTGCAAGAGCACTTTGTTCTTATTCTCAAAAATGAGGTTATTTTTCAGCAAGTGCATAACTAGGTTTGGATGGTCTGATCAGACATACAGACTTATTCGTTTTTCAAAAATGAAAAACACCAGGCAAAAAAATTATGTGCTAAGGCTGTCGTATTAATTATGAGGAACCAGTGCAAAAAGAATTTGGGCAGGACACAGAGAAGTTAACAGGCAGAGAATGAGCAATACTCAAACTCAGGGAACACTACACATTCCTAAGATGGATTTGCCTCCTGAGCTTGTGGAAAGAGACTGTCCTCATTTTAGAGTATGATTCTCAACTCTGGCTGCAGGTCAGAATCACCGAAAGGGTTCGGCCAATGCCTGGGCCCGGCCCAGACCCATCAAATCAGAATCTCCGAGGGGAGGCTGTTTGGATTGTTTTTAAAAGTTCCTCAGGGGGGCGCCTGGGTGGCTCAGTCAGTTAAGCGTCTGCCTTCGGCTCAGGTCATGATCCCAGGGTCCTAGGATCGAGCCCCACATCGGGCTCCCTGCTCCGCGAGAAGCCTGCTTCTCCCTCTCCCACTCCCCCTGCTTGTGTTCCCTCTCTGGCTGTGTCTCTCTGTCAAATAAATAAATAAAATCTTTAAAAAAATAATAATAAAATAATAAAAGTTCCTCAGGGGAAAAACTAAAAAAAGAAAAAACAGAAAAGTTCCTCAGGCGGTGCCTGGGTGGCTCAGTCAGTTAAGCGTCCGACTCTTGGTTTCGGCTCAGGTCGTGATCTCAGGGTCATGGGCTCGAGCCCTATGTTGGGCTCTGCGCTCAGTGTGGAGTCCGCTGCTTAAGATTCTCTCTCTCCCTCTGCCCCCCCACTTGCCGCACGCGCTCTCTCTCTAAAATAAATAAATAAAATAAAAATGAAAAGTTCCTCAGGTGATTCTGAAGTGTTGCCAAGGTGGGAATCACTGCTTTAAAAGGAAGGGTTATCACAGGAAAATCCAGCAAGGAGCCCTTGAGGGCCAGTACAGATGATGTACTGAGACAGCCCACACTCAGCAAGTGGCGGGGGGGGGGTACTCCGGTCACCGCCATCACTGTCACGCGTCGCTCCGACTGCTACTCCTGCCACCTTCACTGTCATACCAAGTCCTGCAGGGAGGCGGGGAAGACAGCGAACAGGAAGCTTCCCGGGAAATGCCATGTGCAGGCTGTGGCAGCAAGTAACTGGACACCAAATGCTGCGTCACAAGCCCAAGACAGAACAATAAGTGACGTCGCAGAGTAGTTCAGTCCTTCCTGGAGGAAAGGGCTCTATTTCCACAGGCCATTAACAGAAGTCAGATGAGACTCTGCCTAACAGACCTAGTCAACAACTTCAAACAGGGGAACCCAACAACCAGATAAAATAACACAAGTGTTTCAGTCCTTCCCATAAAAATAACATCTGGAGTAAAATGTTCACATCCGTACCTTTGGTTTCCCGAATAACAATAGCATTTAGCAATCCTTTCCCCCTGACAGCTGTGACGATGTCAGACGGCAGCTTCATGAGCTCATTCCTCAGGATATTACCCATCTTCTCTGCATTTTCGGCCAGGTTTTCTTCTTCCAAAACCTGTGTTTAACGAGAAATTACACAAGTGCTAAGATTGCCCTGGTTTAGGTCATTCTTTGGAAAGGAACATGGACGATAAGCAAAGGAAGAACACAATCAGATAAAGACCAGAGTCACTGAACTTTCATTTGTTTTCCAAAGTCTATCCCAGTTTCACTTTTCTTTTAAGTACGCTCCGCACCCAGCATAGAGCCCAACGTGGGGCTTGAACTCACGACCCTGAGATCAAGACCTGAGCTGAGACCAAGAGTCAGATGTTTGACTGAGCCACCCAGGCGGCCCAATCAGTTTAGTTTCTAGTTAAACATATACAAGCTCAAACAGAGCTTGCTTTAGTCACAAATCCATCATCAATCTGATTTCATGGCAAAATAAGAATGAAAATTTAATGTAACTGATATCTTATTAGTTGAATAAATCAATGGACTGAATATACTTTAATTTTTAAACTATAGGTTCATTTACTTTTTTCCCTAAAAAGTCCATCCTTGGAGATCACATAATTTTATGCCTTGTAGTAGGTCCCCAAGGCATAAGTCCAAAAGTGTTCAAATCTACACTTTAAAAAAAAAGGAGGGGGGCACCTGGGTGGCTCAGTCAGTTAAGCATCTGCCTTTGGTTCAGATGGTGATCTCAAGGTCCTGGAATCCAGCCCTGCATCGGGCTCCCTGCTCAGTGGGAGTCTGCTTCTCCCTCTCCCTCTGGGCACTCTCTCTTACTTCCTCTCAAAATAAAATAAACAAAATCTTAAAAAAAAAAAATTGGCCTTGTGGGCCAGGTCTGCTCACAGAGTAAAAGCTCTGAAAGCCACCCAGGGCCTCTGGCCCCAAAGCTCCAGGTGACTGCAACTCAGAAGCCCCCAGGAGTCCCGTCTACAAGACCAAGGTTAAATTACTTTTTGAGAATGCCTTGCCCCTAAAGTCCCTCCTCTGGATTTCATGTTCTGTGATACTTGGCAATCATTGTATTTCTCATTACGCCCCTGGGCTCAAACGTAAAAGCCACGTCGACACCACCCAGACAAACAGACACCAGACAAATGGTCTGAATCGGCCGTTACCTCCAGGGCCGCAATGGCCACTCGGCAGCCCAGCGGGTTGCCTCCGTACGTGGACCCGTGCTCCCCCGGCTTAATGGTCAGCATTATTTCATCGTCACACAAAACCGCCGACACCTGCAAGACAGAGAATTCAGGACCAACCAAGTAATTTCCTGGACTGACCGTTCCCACTCTCAGCAAATATTTATGAAGCTGGTATTAAATGTGACATGAAGCTTCCACAAACAAGGGCTACGCATCTTTCATCCTAACTGCCAGGGACGAACCGGTGATAACCTGGGCTCAGTGTGAGCTCGTCAGGCACATTTTGATGGCTCCGAACAAGAGCATTTCGGAACCAAGAAGAAAGCGGTTTCTGCAATGACAGAATTTAGAATTCTTTCCACTTGCAAAGTGAAATGCCTGGTTTAACTGCCTAGAAAACAGTCGTGCGCTATGTTCAGAGCCCTTTACCTGTCATCCAGTACAATGACTGGCTCTGAACAGTAAACTCAAGGACGAAGCTACAACAAAACATTACTCTTTTCCCAACCCCTACATGAATCAGTCACAGTTTTAGACAATTGGTAATGCTAGGTTTCTGAACAATGGGAAAAAGCACAGGCTTCTACAGAAGTACTTTCGGGTAAAATGCTTCCATCCAAAACAAATGCCGGAGCAAATTCCAAGGTACACTCAGTTCTCCGGGTAAAGTTAACTAAGCCGATCGACCCCCTGGAATGCTAAAATGTTTCTATTACACGTTCAGGGAGCCTTGCAGCGCACTTCATGTAACCAAGCCACGGGAAAGGCACATTGTCACAATCGGCTGACGTAAAAATATCTTAAGGGCAGACTTCACAAGAGTAGGGACTAAAGAAGCTGAACCTTCAACTTACAGGGTACAAGCCACCGGAAAGCGCCTTTCCCAGAAGAACCACATCAGGTCTGACCCCTTCATGATCCACAGCCAGCCACCTTCCAGTTCTGGCCAATCCTGTCTGTATCTCATCAGCAATAAACAGAACCTGTTGGAAAACAAGGGAATACATTAATTACTGATTTTGTTTCCACAGGACAAACAGTGAACCCTTCCCCACACAAATCTGTCATTCTGACATTCCCTCAGATTGGTGAGAACCTTTTAATTACCGATTTAAGTTCAACAGCATCCTATGGAAATCCTGCAGACACACAATTATCTCCTGTGTCAGGCCACTCCCTCCCTGCGGCCCATTCTGCTCTATTCCGCAGGGTTTGGATAGAACTACTCTCTGGGAACAGATTAATTCACTTGCTTATTCCAAACATTTCTTAAACAGTTACTTCTTAAATATGTACTAGCTCGGTGGGAAGAGGAAGAGAGCAGAGGGACACAACCAGGGGCCTGGGGAGGACCACAGCACAGGCTGCTGGAGTGGAGAGGAAGAAACCACCCTTGGGCCCGGGGAAGTCTGCAGCTCTGCCTGAGCCCAGGCTTGGCCACTTTCCAGAGCTAGTAAAAAGTCAGCTTCTGTGCCCGCTGCTGACAGAGCGCACTAGAAAGTTCCACCTTCCCCCTAGTGGAAAGGTGATGTCATCTTTGCTTCCACACTACCAGCCCAGCCCTGAGTGAGGTAGGCAGGCGCAAGGTGGGCGACCTGGTGCCGGGTGCACAGCTCTCGCACGCCCATCAGGTAACCGGGCTCTGGAACGACGACGCCCGCCTCACCCTGAATTGGTTCTACCATGAATGCAGCAACGTTTGGATCCTGAAGAACACGCTACAAAAAGATATGAATATGTTTTAGTAGCTTCCTTTTTAACCTATTTGGCTAAATAGGCTAAAAATTAGTTAAATCTGAAATCACACACTGCCTATATTTTTACATTAAGTATGCTAATTAAGTTTTTGTACTAACTTATACCTGACATCAAAGTATAACATTTCCGGGTGGCACAGGCGCTTCGGTATCCGACTCTTGGTTTTGGCTTAGGTCATGGCTGAGGTCTTGGGACTAAGCCCATGCATCAGGGTCTGCACTCCAGGCAGAGTCTGCTTGGGACTCTCTTTCCCTCTCCCCTTAAACTTTCCCTGCCAACATGCGCTCTCTCTCACTCTCAGAATGGATGTAAATCTTTACTTTTTTTTAAAGATTTTATGTATTTATTTGACAGAGAGACAGTGAGAGAGGGAACACAAGCAGGGGGAGTGGGAGATCCCAGGACCCTGGGATCATGACCTGAGCCAAAGGCACATACTTAACAACTCGGCCACCCAGGCGCCCCGGATGTAAATCTTAAAAAAAAAAAAAAAAAACACGAAGTATAACATTTCTGACACCCAGTTACCAAGAGCTCCATATATTCCAGCTTTAAGCTACTCTAGCCTATATTTTTTTTAAGATTTATTTATTTATTTACTTATTTATTTGACAGAGAGAGCAAGCGAGCACACAAGTAGGCAAAGCACAGGCAGAGGGAGAGAGAGAAGCAGGCTCTCCAGTGAGCAGAGAGCCCGATGGGGGACTCGATCCCAGCACCCTGGGATCACGACCTGAACCGAAGGCAGACGAAGGCAGATGCTCAACTGACTGAGCCACCCAGGCTCCCCAATATCCTTTATTTTCTAATACATAGTTAAATGTACTATAAAAACTAAAAAACATAGCTTTTTACTTTTTTGTTTTTAAGGATTTTATTTATTTATTTGACAGAGAGACACACAATGAGAGAGAGAACACAAGCAGGGGGAGTGGGAGAGGGAGAAGCAGGCTTCCCGCGGAGCAGGGAGCCTGATGCGGGGCTCGACCTGGGATCATGACCTGAGCCGAAGGCAGACGCTTAACAGTTGAGCCACCCAGGCTCCCCAATATCCTTTACTTTCTAATATATAGTTAAGTGTACTATCAAAACCAAAAAACATAGCTTTTTACTTTTTTTTTCTTAAGATTCTATTTATTCATCTGACAGAGAGAGAGCACAAGCAGGGGGAACAACAGAGGGAGAGGGAGAAGCAGACTGCCCACTGAGCAGGGAGCCCGACATGGGGCTCAGTCCCAGGACAGAATCCCAGGATCATGACCTGAGCCAGAAGACAGATGCTTAACTGACTGAGCCACCCAGGCGCCCCCAAAACATAGCTTTTTAAAAGACATTTTCAGTGAATCTTTTTATTTTACAAGTCCTCCACTCATAATTTTAAAAGGCTAACTGAAAACTGAGTCATTTTACCTAATAAAGTAATTAAACATACACTATCCAAGTTACTTATGCAGGATACAAAGGGAAAGTAGCTGGTTCTCAGGATTAGACCATGGCACCTGACTTCCCCATGCTGAAAACTAATTGACCATTACAGAGACCAGTCTGAAATCTTGGCCCAACTTATGTTAGACAGACATTCATTACAGTCCCATATCTATTTTCAATTCATACATTCAACAAATTTAATTTCTATTTACTCTGAGCTAAAGCACTGTGAGGCTAAGTGCAGTACCTCAAGAGCAGGCAGATCATTATATGGAATGATTTCAAAACCTGGCATAAATGGTCCAAAACCATCATAACTGCTTGGGTCTGTGGAACTGGAGATAGCTGACAATGTTCTCCCCCAGAAGTTTCCAGCTGAAAAAGAAAAATAAACAGAGATTATTTCAAGCCCCCAAACTTAATAAGCACTGTCCCCAAAAAATACCTTAAGAAGTTTGATTTTTTTTTAGGGCGCCTGGGTGGCTCAGTTGGTTTGATTTTTTTAAAAAATGAAGTTTTGCTTTACAGAGCCTCCAGTGAGCTTTCATTTGTTAAAATAAAACCTGATATTAGAAAAAAAAAAAACACTGATATTAAACACCATGGCTCACACAACCACCAAGGCCTGGCCTTGCAATTGCTATTATAGGCACTTCTCTACTGAATCTCCGACTGTAATCTAGAGCCCCAGAGGATAAATACTTGTCTTTTCTTTCAATAATCCCAAACCCTAACAACTGAGGCATTCAACATATGTTTTTCTAGACACAGTGAATTAATAGCAATAAGAGAAAAAGAATATTCTTTACAGAGAATTAGTATTTTCCTTTTAAACACCCAATACTACAGAATGAACTTTAAATTTCATTTGCAGATGAATGGATAAAGATGTGAGATATATATATAATGGAATATTATGCAGCCATCAAAAAATGAAATCTTGCCATTTACAACGACAGGGATGGAATTAGAGGGTATTATGCTGAGCGAAATAAGTCCATCAGAGAAAGACAAATATCATATGATCTCACTGATATGAGGAATTTGAGAAGCAAGACAGAGGATTATAGGGGAAGGGAGGGAAAAATGAAACAAGATGAAACCAGAGAGGGAGACAAACTATAAGAGACTCTTAATCTCAGGAAACAAACTGAGGGCTGCTGGAGTGGAGGTCGGTGGGAGGGATGGGGTGGGTGATGGACACTGGGGAGGGTAGGTATTATGGTGAGCGCTGTGAATTGTGTAAGACTGATGAATCACAGACCTGTACCTCTGAAACAAATAATACATTATATGTTAATAAAAAAATTTGAAAAAAATTTCAGGGGCGCCTGGGTGGCTCAGTCGTTAAGCGTCTGCCTTTGGCTTGGGTCATGATCCCAGGGTCCTGGGAGTGAGCCCCACGTCAGGTTCCCTGCTCGGCAGGAAGCCTGCTTCTCCCTCTCCCACTCCCCCTGCTCTCTTGCTGTGTCTCTGTCAAATAAATATATAAAATCTTTTTTAAAAATTAATTAATTAAAATAAAATAAAATTTCATTTGCAGAAAACATCCTCAGGCAATCTAAACACTTTCAATTTTGCCTTCCTTGGTATTACAATCTTTTTTGAGCTAAATGACTAACATTGTTCTTTGTTCAGAAACATCTTTTTACCCATTAATTTAGTTCATTAAGAAATCTGAGGCCCCACTATGTGGGGCACTGTCTTTGGTGTTGGGGACAGAGTGGCCTTCATGGAGCTTGCTTAAAAGCTAGAGGGAAGAAACACCATAACCTGAATCAGAGTAAAGCAAATGCTTAAGATAATTTGAACTGGTTACATTCAAGCAAGGAAAGAAACAATGTAGAATAACAGAGAGGCTTGGGGGTTCCCCTACTTTTTTTTTTTTTTAATAGCTTTCTACCGCCTCTACGAGCACCAACTCAATTAACCCAGTAGTGAATTACTGCGTTTTGGCTTAAAGCGTCCCTAAACACTACTCTTGCAAAGGATCTCTCACTATGAGTGATCCCCACTCTCCTTGTCCACCAGTCACAGCACATTGATTTTGAGCAGGCTTGTGTAAGAGAAAGTGCACCAGAGGCGCCCGGGTGGCTCAGTCAGTTAAGTGTCCAACTGTTGGTTTTGGTTCAGGTCATGATCTCAGGGTTGTGGGACTGAGCCCCACAACGGGCTCTGCACTGGGCATGAAGCCTGCTTAAGATTCTCTCTCTCTCCTTCTCCCTCTGCCCCTCCCCCTGCCTCAGCAAGTGCACTCTCTCTAAAAAAAAAAAGAGAGAGAGAAAGAAAAGAAAATGCACCAGTCAGCCCAGGAGCCTAACTGCTCTCCCCCACGCAGCCTCAGGAAGTCTCCTCCTCTGTGGCTTACTCTGCGGGGGGGGGGGGGGGGGCGGATTTCAGTTGGGAACAGGCTTTTTTTTTTTTTTTTCTTTTTTTTTTTTTTTTAAGATTTATTTATTTGTTTGTTTGAGAGAGCGAGAATGAGAGAGAGAGAGAGTACATGAGAGGGGGGAGGGTCAGAGGGAGAAGCAGGCTCCCCGCTCAGCAAGGAGCCCGATGTGGGACTCGATCCCGGGACTCCGGGATCATGACCCAAGCCAAAGGCAGACGCTTAACCGACTGAGCCACCCAGGCACCCGGGAACAGTCTTCTCTGTCTCTACCCCACTGACTCACCAACTGCTTTCAATACTCAGGTGAAAACACCTTTGCACCGTTTGGCTAATATGTAAGAGACTAATACAGTCTGTAAGAATGAAAATCACCAGAAATGCCATTTTTGTTTGCAAGAAAACAGTTATGTTATGCCGTCCTACTACTAAGGCACAAGATTCTAAAATGGCAGGTCACAGAGCTGAGCAAAGATTTCTTCTTTGCGAATAGTTAATTTGTCACCCCCAAATACCAACTACACCTGGCCATCAGCATATTTAACAATTTCAACTACTGAAAGAATGCATTTTGACCATGTGCAATGACAAATTTATCCATACTTTATGTTTTTAAAAATTAAAATCAAAACTTTATTAAAAAGGCAGAACCCATCAACTGAACATCATTAGAAAGATTCCAAGAGTCAGATTATATCATGCAGAGGACAAACTTGTGGCTCCCAGAGAGGAGGTGGGTGGGGGTATGGGTGAAATAAAGGGCATCAAGAGCACACTTATCACAATGCGCAGAGGAATGTACAGAATTGCTGAATCACTACATTGTATACCTGCAACTACTAGGACACTGTATGGTAATTATACTTCAATTAAAAAAACGAATAAAAAGTACAACTAGTAATAATAAATAAGAGAACAAAGGAAACGTTTGGAGGTGGGGGAAAGGGTAGCGGCATAGATTGTCATGGTGGTTTCATGGGTGAACACCTATCTCCGAGCTCAGCAAGTTGTCTACATCAATTACATACATCTTTTGGTATGTCAAAAAATAAAAGCAAAATTTAAATAAATAAGATGCCAATACAGGGTGGGTACGGAGGACAAAGGTCAGATTCCATCATCTGAAGTAACTGTTCGTCTCCCGAATCAGTATCCAAGTCATTCCTCTCAACCATTCCCAGAAACCTATCCAGGGCAACTCCAGCCCTCCTCTTGCAACAGTTTCTGAGAACATGATACAATAACACATCAAATACTAAGATTCAAACTCCATATCACACCGAGGACACGGGCCCCATTCTAACACAACCCAACCTCAACAACCCGCCTGGGTGGCTCAGTTGGTTAAGCGACTGCCTTCGGTTCAGGTCATGATCCTGGAGTCCCGGGATCCAGTCCCGCATCGGGCTCCCTGCTCAGCAGGGAGTCTGCTTCTCACTCTGACCCTCTTCCCTCTCGTGCTCTCTATCTCTCATTCTCTCTCTCTCAAATAAATAAATAAAATCTTAAAAAAAAATAAAAATTAAAAAAATTTTTTAAAAAATGCTCTACTGGTAAAGACCATCTACTTAATGAGAAACCTGCTAGGAAAAAAATCCAATAAACAGATGATAAATAAATCATACAGTCATTCATTTTAGGGAGTGAGGAGTAGGGAGTTACTTAGCAGAGAAAAATCCCATTTATGTAGAAATATTGGAAATAACCCCAAAAGAGGAAATCTCTCAATTTTTATGAAACATTTAGCAAATAATATATAGCAGAGGAGGCAAACACACCGGAAATAGTCCATCAGTAAATTGAAATATGACATCGTATGATGACATCACAAAGGCTAATGTTGAATTTCACATACCTGCAAAAACAATCTTTGCTTTGTACTTTGGGATACCCTTAACAGTATATCCCCACCTACGAGCAAGTTTGCAAGCGGTCTCTCCAGCCTCCACTCCTATCAAGAAAGAAATTTTTTCAGTTAAAAAAAAATCTTAAATCATCAAAAAGTAGTAAGATTGTTTTCTTGGCTATTTAACGTAAAAAGGAAATATTTTACCTGTATTCATAGGAAGAACTTTGTGGTAGTTGAAAAGTTTAGTAATATACTCTTCGTATTCACCAAGCACATTATTATAGAAAGCCCTGGATGTTAAGGTCAGTTTGTCTGCTTGACTTTTCAGAGCATTCACAATCTTTGGATGGCAATGCCCTTGGTTGACAGCACTGTAAGCACTCAGGAAGTCAAAGTATTTTCTGCCTTCTACATCCCATACATAAATACCTAAATATATAAAGAGAGTTATTTTAGCAAATCACTGAGTTACATAAAGTTCAAAGATTAAGACTGTTGGCAAGCCTTCTGAATACCTACACATGAACCTTTACTTAATACAGAATTGTGGTTAAGGCATGTTTTAGCTCAAGCATAGTCTGGTTGGTTATAAATAATCTGGTTTATAAGGAATTATATTTTATTTGTCCAGCTTGAAATTACACCTTTAGCAAGAACATAATAACATGAAAAGGTTTATAAACTCTGGAGTGAAACCCTCACTCCTAGAAAACTGGCATTTGGAATTTAAAAGCAAAATTATACATAACATAAAAATCATGATTAGTTAAAAAAAAATCATGATTAGTTGACTGTAACTATCAACAGAATGAGAAAATATATTTCCAAATCACAAACCTATCTACTAAGGATCTACTATCCAAAACACAACTCTAACAAACAACCCAATTCAGGGGCGCCTGGGTGGTTCAGTCGGTTAAGCGGCTGCCTTCAGCTCAGATCATGATCCTGGAGTCCCGGGATTGAGCCCAGCATCATCGGGCTCCCTGCTCAGCAGGGAGTCTGCTTCTCCCTCTCCCTCTGCGCCCCCACTCGTGTTCCCTCTCTCTCTCTCTTGCTCTCTCTAATAAATAAAACCTTTTTTTTTTAAGATTTTATTTATTTATTTGAGAGAGAGAGAGAATGAGAGATAGAAAGCACGAGAGGGAAGAGGGTCAGAGGGAGAAGCAGACTCCCTGCTGAGCAGGAAGTCCGATGCGGGACTCGATCCCGGGACTCCAGGATCATGACCTGAGCCGAAGGCAGTCGCTTAACCAACTGAGCCACCCAGGCGCCCATAAATAAAATCTTTAAAAAAAAATTCAAAAATGGGCAAAGAACATGAATGGACATTTCTCCAAACAAGATATACAAATGACCAAAAAGCACATGAAAAGATGCTCAATATCTCTATCACTACAGAAATGCAAATCAAAATCTCAATGATAGCATTCTACACTCATAAGGATGGTTGTAAGAAAGAAAGAGAGAGAGAGAGGGAGGGAGGGAGGGAGGAAGAAAACAAGCGTTGGCAAGGACAAGGAGAAACTGGAACTCATGTATCACTAGAAACTGCAACTCATGTATATTTTAAAATGGTGCAGCAGCTGTAGAAAACAGCTGGGCACCCCCTCAGCAAGTCACACATAAAGTTACCATCTAACCAAGCAATTCCACACCCAGGTATACACCCCAAAAAAGTGGAAGACATGTGTTCAAACAAAAATTTGTACACAAATGCTCATAGCAGCACCATTCACAACAGTCAAAAGGTGGAAACAACTCAAATGTCCATCAACTAATGAATGGATAAACAAAATGTGGTCCATCCATATGATGAAATATTATTCAACCACAAAAAGCAATGGAGTACTAACACATGCTACATGGGTGAGCCTTGAAAACATTACACTAAGTCAGAGAAGCCAGACACAAAAGACCATGTGTTGCAGCCATTCCATTTATATGAAATATCCAGAACAGGCAAATCCACAGAGACGGAATGCAGGTTAGTGGCTGCCGGGGTTTTAGGGAGAGGAGAGACTGTAGAGTGACTGTTTAATAGGTATGGGGGCCCTTTGGGGGTAATAAAGTCCCAGGACTAGCTAGAGGTGATAGTTCTACAATACTGTTTATGTATTTAGTGGTACTGAACTCAACGATAAAAATGGTAAATTTTAAGTTATGTATGCTTAAAAAAAATTTTTTTTAATTGGCTATAGATTTTAAAAATGTACTGGGTAGCTTACCAGCTAACTTTTACCATGTACTTAACATACTGTGTTAGGTACTTCTGTATCTTATCTCATCAAAAAAACCCTATTTAAAAAACAAAACAAAACACCCCTGAAAGTATTACCATCCTACAGTACAAAGATATGGAAAGAGATGCTTGGATTTAGAATTAGCCCAAGCTGGCACATACAGAACAGGACTTGACCCCAGGCACTCAGATTCCAGAACCCACACTCTGCTAGTACAGGAATATTTTTACAAATAGTTTCCAAATTCATAACACAGAAGTCTAGATTTTCATTTCTTCAAAATCTAGATTACAGTGCTGGTCCTAAATAAAAATACAGCAAAATGATAAAGATGTTTTAATACTCTTATACACCATCTTCTGGCCCAAAGCTAAGAAATAAACTTTGGTTTTATTAGGTTAAGGCTGTTATTTCAAAATGTGCATTAAATCACCACTTGGCAAATATCAGTAATCATTTATTCAGGTAGAGGATAATTAATGGATGTTAAAAGTGTGAGTAAAAGTTTGCAGAGTCTCAAATCATGTACCCACAAGATATTCAAAAGGACAAAATAGTATCTTTGTAGTGAAGAAGGCTGGCAGTCACTACCTTACCAGCCAACTCCAAACTGAGGTTCATTCTACAAAATTATTGACCTGTACTATTCAAAAACATCAAGATCAAGAAGACAAAGAAAGACTGAGGAACTGCTCTGGATTAAAGAAAACTAAACAGACCTGAAAACTGAATGTAACCCATGATCTGAGATTTTCCTTTTACACTAGGACAACAAATGAAATCTGGATCAGGTCTGTAGATTAGATAATGGTGCCGTATCAACGTTAATTTCCCTATCTTGACAATTACACTATTGTTTGAGAAAAGTCCTGTATTTCAGGAAAGACACACTAAGTATTTAGGTGTAAAGAGGCATCACATGTCTGCAACTTCCTCTCAAACAGTTCAGGGAAAAAACGTAGCACGTGTGTGCGTGCGTGCGCGCGCGCGCGCGCGCGCGCATGTGTGTGTGTGTAGAGAAAATGATAAAGTAAATGTGGTAAAATGGTAGCACTCAAGAAATCTGCATGAAGGCGCCTGGGTGGCTCAGTCATTAAGCGTCTGCCTTTGGCTCAGGTCATGATCCCGGGGTCCTGGGATCGAGTCCCACGTCTGCTTCTCCCTCTCCCTCTGCTGCTCCCCCTGCTTGTACTCTCTGTCTGTGTCAAATAAATAAATAGAACCTTTATAAAAAAAAGAAAGAAATCTGAGTGAAAAGAAAGAAAGAAAGAAATCAATCAATCAATCAATCTGGGTGAAGAGTAATAGAAAATTCTTTGGGTGCCTGGTGGCTCAGTCAGTTGAGCATCTGCCTTCAGCTCAGGTCATCATCCCGGGGTCCTGGGATTGAGGGGTCCTGGGATTGAATCCTGAGTTGGGCTCCCTGCTCAGCAGAGAGTCTGCTTCTCCCTCTCCCTCTGCCCCTCCCCCAGCTTGTGCTCTCTCTGGCTTTCTCTCTTTCTCTCTCTCTCTCTCAAATAAATAAATAAATCTTTAAAAAACAAAAAGAAAATTCTTTGTACTATAATTGCAACTTTTATTTAAGCCTAAAATTATGCCAAAATAAAAGTTAAAGGAAAGAGGGGTGCCTGGGTGGCTCGGTCGTTGAGCGTCTGCCTTTGGCTCAGGTCATGATCCCAGGGTCCTGGGATTGAGCCCCCATCGGGCTCCCTGCTCAGCGGGAAGCCTGCTTCTCCCTCTCCCACTCCCCCTGCTTGTGTTCCCTCTCTTGCTGTCTCTCTCTCTGTCAAATAAATGAATAAAATCTAAAAAAAAAAAAAAAGTTAAAGGAAAGAAACGACAGCACTATTATAGTACTTTCCTTATGTATCTCACATTCCCTCCTGGCAAGGTCCATAATGGTAAAGACAATGAGTTCATCTTTGTATTTCCCCCCGGACCTAAGACTGCAAGCACTAGATACTCAATAAATGTTGAATTAACTATATCTGCAATATAGAAATTAAATGCATCTGGAAAAATGTATACTGAGAAAACTTAAAAACAATTTTTATAAAAGGTTTCAAGCAAAAGGGAGAAGGGGCATTGGATTAATTCAAAAATGTACCTTTTCCTCTCTCCAGGGCTACAGGTAAAGGATGATAGTTGTGTGCACCATATTTAGATTCTCGCTCAAAAATGTAATCGGAAGATGGAGGGCCTTGGATTGTCTTTTTAGTCGCAACAGACGTAGCAAAAGCCACTGAGGAATGAACTCCACGCCGAAGCACAGCAATGGTCTGCAGATGAGCTAGTCTGGAAAACATCGTGTCCTTCAAGTAGGAATACCACCCACCTGTTCAAAAAGAAGAGAAGGCAGTAAGAGTAAAAGTCTTCCCGGAGTCAGTGTATGTCGGCTTATCATGTGTTGAGCATTTACCAAAGTCCGCCAAAGAATCAAGAAAATGAGGGAGAACAAAGACCCAGTCCTTGCCCGGGGAAGCTTAAGGGAAATACGCACATACCTGTTTAGAGTCAAACCTGACAAGGACTACAGCAGGATGTGCACAAAGTACTACAGGCAAGGAGCCCAAGAGAAGAGGTAAGAAAATCAAGAAAAACTCTGGACGGGAGGTCAGGGGCCCCGACTCGCACTTACACCTTTCTGTGCCACTCGAGCATTCTTTACTAAGCACACATACTTTTTCTAAGTCATCAGTATATCAAGGACAAGGAACTCACTCCGGGGGAGTCAGGCAAGGCTGCACAGCAGAGGGGCTAGAGAGGTGGCACCTGATCTTGTGGACTGAGCACCCGTTACAAAGGGACTGCTGTGGGGCCAGATCCTTTCAAATGGGCAGTCCCCTTAGTACGCAGACCAAATCAGAGAAGGAGGGGGGTCGGGCCACACATCGGGCTCCCTGCTCGGTGGGGAGCCTGCTTCTCCCTCTCCCTCTGCCACCACACGCCCCCCAACCCCTTCGCTCTTGCATTCTCTCTCTCTCTCTCTCTCTCTCTCTGCACTCTCCCTCTCAAATAAAAAAAACAGAATCTTAAAAGTTGCCAGGGGCACCTGGGTGGCTCAGTTGGTTAAACTTTGGACTCTTGGTTTGGCTCAGGTCATGATCTCAGGGGTGGTGCTCTGCACTCAGCAAGGAGTCTGCTTGTCCCTCTCCCTCCCCCTCTGCTCCTCCCCCTTCATTCAAAGGGAGGTGCGCCCTCTCTCTCTCAAATTAATAATTTTTTTTAAGTTGACAAACACTAAGCATACTTACTACATCTATATTTTTTTGTCTATACTTATTTTTTAAAAAGAGTACTTAAGTCATGTTTAGACAGAGTTCTATGAATGACAATCAAATGACACAACCTCCTAGCACTCAATTTGAGCTGCCAAATTAGTAAAAACTTAATCCTTGGAGCTTGGCTTACTTCCCTTTCAGCTTGGCACGACATGGTAAATCCAGTATGTTCAGGAATTCACAGTTACTAAACAAAATCCAGCACTCCGTTTGCCCAAACTCACCAACTATCCTTTCTTCCCACAGTTCAGATGAGAATACGGATTTTTAATCTGAGATGCAGGGATGGTGTTCAGAGGATCCAGTAACTCCTGAAATAAAATGCAGAATCGTACGCACAAGTGCATTCTCCTAAGGAGAAGGTCCCTAGCTCTCACCAGGTTTTATCTGGGGGAGGCACGATATATAGGAACTAGCAGACAGGGGACAGTGGCTAGCAAAATGCAAGGTCTAGCTATACAAAATGAGACAGAACTTCCCCCAAAATACTACTGTGAAGTCTAAAACATGGATTTTAACTTTATTTCTTGGCCTTTTATGCTCTACACAGTAAGAATTAATGCTCTGTTCGACCAACTAAAAAATTAACAATTTCTGCCTTGATCAAATTAGCAATAAAACACAGCATTCCATGGTGGTACTCTGAACTAAAACCCTTTTTGAAAAGAACCGTAGGGGTGCCTGGGTGGCTCAGTCAGTTAAGCATCTGCTTTCAGCTCAGGTCATGATCCAAGTGTCCTGGGGTCGAGCCTACATTGGGCTCCCTGCTCAGCAAAGAGCCTGATTCTCCCTCTCCTTCTGCTGCTCCCCCTGCTTGTGCTCTCCCTCTCTCTCTCAAATAAATAAATAAAATCTTTAAAGAAAGAAATAAAAGAACTATAGCCCTTTTCACAGCCTTAGAAGGGTTTGTACTCTTAGACCAGTAATTTCACTCCTAAGATCCTATCATAAATAGTCAGGAATGCGGAGAAACATTCACGCATAAAAGATGTTCAACAGTAAGAGAATGGATCGACATAATCACATACATAACAACGGGCTGTCACTTAAAATAATTATAGTATAACAACACGGAGAGGTGTTTTAGGATGTGTTTACGTGAAAAAAAAAACATATACAATACGTTCAAGATTATAAATAAAGAAGTAGGGGCGCCTGGGTGGCTCAGTTGGTTAAGCGACTGCCTTCGGCTCAGGTCATGATCCTGGAGTCCCGGGATCGAGTCCCATGTCGGGCTCCCTGCTCAGCAGGGAGTCTGCTTCTCCCTCTGACCCTCTTCCCTCTCGTGCTCTCTATCTCTCATTCTCTCTCTCAAATAAATAAATAAAATCTTTAAAAAAAAAAAAGTAATGTAAGGGAAAACTACCTGGAAAGGCACAAAAATGTTCACTGTGATTACCTTTCTACTTCCCACATTTATAATCAGAAAAAGAATTGTTACAAATGAAGCTGAATGTCTGCCTAGGTTGTCACATTCGACAGAGAAAAAGCTTAGGCAACATATAAAACAAAACTAAGGGGAAAAGAAGTGTTTGAGAAGCTCTGAGAAAACGGTCTGTGGTTAAAAGAAAGGCAGAGGACATTTCCCCTAGGAAGTGCAGCCTGGATTACAAGTAGGTCTAGAAGTTCATTTGTATGAGAGAGGGTCAAATTCTAAAATAAAAACTACTCTCTCTAATGATTTTGCTATCAAGGTCTGCAGCTCTGTGACTAGAACCATGCAGGGAGGCACTACGAAAACAAACAGTTATAAAAAAAAATATAAGAACTCTCTTAACTAGCATTTTTTTTTTAAGTAAGCTCTACTCCAAACGGTGGGGCTTAAACTCAAAACCCCAAGATCAAGCATCACATGCTCTATCAACTGAGCCAGCCAGCATGTTTTAAGTTCATTAACAGGTTGATATAGTGTTGCAAGTGAAAGGAGTTTTTGAAATTATCTAAATTCAACAGTCTTCATCTTATACAAGAAGTTATAACAACTTACAAAACGTAACATTCAAACATTACTAACACTCATTCTTAAGGCTTTTAAAGATGACCTCTGGATATTCAACTGGAAAAAGTCCTGCAGTTGGATGTGTGATGATGTAACCAGAATCTGTACGCATATTTCTATTAAAGAACCTTCTGCAGGCGCCTGGGTGGCTCAGTCAGTTGGGTGTCTGCCTCTGGCTCAGGTCATGATCCCAGGGTCCTGGGATCGAGCCCCGCATTGGGCTCCCGGGTCAGCAGGGAGCCTGCTTCTCCCTCTCTCTCTGAGGCTCCTCCTGCTTGTGCTCTCTCTCTCTCAAATAAATAAATAAAATCTTATTAAAAATTTTTTTAAAAACTACACTGGGGCGCCTGGGTGGCTCAGTTGGTTAAGCGACTGCCTTCGGCTCAGGTCGTGATCCTGGAGTCCCGGGATCGAGTCCCACATCGGGCTCCCTGCTCAGCGGGGAGTCTGCTTCTCCCTCTGACCCTCTTCCCTCTCGTGCTCTCTATCTCTCATTCTCTCTCTCTCAAATAAATAAATAAAATATTTAAAAAAAATAAAAAACTACACTGTACGTTAACTTACTGGAATTTAAATAAAAACTTTTTTTAAAAAGTGCACTTCATTAAATTTAATGGTCTTCAAGAGTCTAAATAGTATGTGTAAGCCTGACCAGTCCAGGCTGTTGTCTTGCCTTTAACCAAGCCCCACACTCAGGTGCGGGGCGGGGGGGGACGACACACGACAGGACAGACAAGCTGCTACCCACAGGAAAAATTTTATCATTGTTTTCAGTAATCTACATAATTCACAAAGCCCTTCTTCAAGTTGTTATTACTCCCATCTATCTAATCCATCCTGTCTACATGAAAACATACCTAAAATAGAATTTCCATAAAAGGCTGCATTTTGAAGAGTTAATTTAATTTAGCATGCACTATGAAATACAAGTTTTTTTAAATAACTCTAAGAAAAACCAGCAGAAGTTCATCAAAAAAGCCACTTAAGGGCACCTGGGTGGCTCAGTCTGTTAACCGTCTGCCTTTGGCCCGGGTCATGGTCCCAGAGTCCTGGGATCGAGCCCGGGGTCGGGCTCCCTGCTTATTGGGGAGTCTGCTTCTCTCTCTGCCCTCTCCCCCCCTACGCCCCTGGCTCATACTTTCTCTCGCTCGCTCTCTTTCTCAAATAAATAAAAGCTTAAAAAAAAAAAGCCACTTAAAATATTCAACTTGTGGAGTAAATTTGGCTTTCCTGTATCGGTCAAATATTTACTTTTCTTGAGGTAACCATTCACAAATATAGTCTTTTTTTTTAAAGTTCTACCAACAAAAATTTGTGGGTTTTTCTTTTTTTTGTATGTAATCTGGCTAAAATTCAACTCAAGTGCGTCATTGGCACATCTTAACCATTACTATTGAAAAAGGACTGGCTCTGCCAGACCACACCCTCCACACACCTCCAAAATTTGGTCCATTCCTACTTTTTTTTTTTTTTTTAAGTAGGCTCGGCGCCCAGTGCAGAGCACAAGGGGGGCTTGAACTCACGACCCTGAGATCAAGATCTGCCTAACTGACCGAGCCATGCAGACACCCCAATTCCTCTCTATTTTAAAATATATGAGATTCAGGGGTGCCTGGGTGGCTCAGTTGGTTAAGAGGCTGCCTTCAGCTCAGGTCATGATCTCAGGGTCCCAGGATGGAGCCCCGCATCAGGCTCCCTGCTCAGCAGAGAGTCTGCTTCTCCCTCTGACCCTCTCCCCACCTCATTCAAATAAATAAATAAAATCTTTTTTTAAGTATATTTATCTTGATGAGTGTTAATATATGCAACTGTTGAATCACCACATTGTACACCTGAAATTAACGTAACACTTTTAACTACACTGGAATTAACATTTTTAAAAATGCTTCATATAAAAAAAAAAAAAAACAAGGGGCGCCTGGGTGGCTGAGTCATTGAGCGTCTGCCTTAGGCTCAGGTCATGATCCCAGGGCCCTGGGATCAAGCCCTGTGCAGGGCTCCTTGCTCAGCAGGGAGCTTGCTTCTCCCTCTCCTCCCTGCTTGTACTCTCGTATCTCTCCTCGCACGCTCTCTCTCAAATAAATAAATAAAATCTTTAAAAAAAAAAAAAAGAGAGAGAGAGAGAGAGACTCTACTTTCACAATCCAGAACTAGATTCTCTGAAGATGAAACCAAGATATTCTAAGAAAGAAATCTGTTGTTTATTTCAAATAGGTAAGATAAAGAAATTGGATTACATAAAGAACACTTTCAGGTTCAAACTGAGAGAACCAGTTTACCTACAGAAACTCTTACAAACCCAAAGAAGAGATTTAGAATTGAGAAAATTACAGATTAGTAATTTATTAAAGCCAATTCATTTCAAACTCACTCCTGCTTTTCTCCCTTAATTTATCACCTCATCAAAGAGGTAAAACTGAAACCAAGAAGGTAAGAGTTACAAAAGGTGGAGGCCACAGGTTCCTGAGAACAAGTGCCCCACTGATTTCAACCAGAATGCACTGTTGACAAAGAACTCTACGGATGAAGTCTTCATGCTGAAAGCCTGTTGGCCCCAATCCCTTGACACCATCCAATTAGTCTGCACGTTACTGTAGATAAGGCTCTACTTCTGTTAAGTTTTTATTTGGACAAAGACGGGAGGGAAAAACGATGTTGGGGGAGGGGAGAGATAAGCAGGTTGGAGGCAGGGCCCAGGCACTACCCGAAAGGATTCGAACCCTTTTCAAGGGTCCATCGGCGCCCTCCGCCCCATTACAAAAGCCACCGTTTACTGAGCAGTTCCCCCAAATCCAGAATGCACCCTTCTGGTAGACCTCAGGAGCCCAGGGTGCCCGCGGTGCCCGAAGCCTCCTCCCCAGACGCCAGCGCCCCAACACCTTCTCGCGAACCCGAAGGCGCGCAGCGAAGGCGCAGAGACCCCGGAGCGCTGGGGGGCCGCGGGCCGGGAGGGCGGAGGGCCGAGGACCCGCCCGGCTCCGCCTGCTCTGGCAGGCGGAGGTGCCACATCCTCAGCCTCTCTCTGCCTCCTGCCTCCCTCGGCCGCCCGCCGCTCCGGACCGGGATGCGCCGCGTGCCCCGCCCGCCGAGGCTGCGCGTCCGCCCGCTGCCCCCGGCCCCGCAGTGCCCGCCGCCAGCCGCGTAAAACGGCCGCAGAGGCGGAGCCTGCCCCCCGGCTGAGGCCCAGCGCGCCCCCTCGGCGGGTGCCTCCCCGGACCCCCGACCCGAGACCGAGGCCGAGGCCGCCCGCGTCGGCCGCCTCGCCGGCCGCCGTCTGGGATACCCCGGTCCCGGCCCGAGCCGCGGCCCCTCCGCGATAGCGCGGATACCTGGCGGGGCTTCCGACGCCGGCCCGGGACACGCGTCGTCCACAGCACAGCAGCGCGACGGTGGCGCGTCACAGAGCCTAAGACGCGGCTTCCGCCCCGCCCTCGGGACGCCCTCGCCACCCATTGGCTGGCGCCGGAGGGCTGGGCACCAATCGCCGTGGGCCCGCCCTCCGCCCCGCCCGCCTGACTGCGGCGCCGAGCGGACCCAGCCTCCCACCGCGGTTCGAGCGGCTCCCGCATCTCCTGGGCGGGGCTGCTCTGGGCCGCCGCCGGGTCCCTGGCGCTCCCGCGCAGGCCTGGCCGCTGCCTTTCGGCCGGTCGCTCACTGTCTGCCTGTTGCTGGAGGGAAGACGAGGCCCTAAGGGATGGAATGCCTGTTGGGTCTCGGGCTCCCGGAGTTTCCAGGGTCCCAGCCGCGAGGGTCTGGATGACCGGCAGGACCTCCAGCCCTGCGCTCCCGGCCGTGCTCCCTGTCCCTTGCCACGCAGAGCCTTCTGTGGGGCGCCCACCCAGCTGCACCCCAAACACAGCTGCGGGACCCCTCGAACCCCGTTGCGCTTCTGAACCCACCCCCAGAAGTCATCACGGCCGCTGGAAAACATATTGCCGACCTCCTCGTGCTGCGGGTAGACACTTAAATGACCGCGACACACCCCGTGTAAGTTTGTCTGTGGCGCCCTCCACAAGTCATAATTAAAGCTCAGAACTCAAAATGGACAGTCCAGGACAATCTCGTATGAGAATAGGAAGGGACTTGGACATAATTTTGCCTCCACCATTTTTGTTATATATTGGAAGCCAGAGACTGGGAGAGGGAAAGTGACTTGCCCAGGGTCACTCCGCAGGTGAGAGGCAGCCCAGCCCCGTGTGCCACTGCCCTTCTCAGTGCGCAGTCCAAGACAGCTGCAGGGACAAAGGACCGCACCGTGTTTCCTTAGACCATCGTGGTCAGGGGCGCCTGCGTGGTTCAGTCTCTGGATTTCGGCTGAGGTCATGATCTCTGGGTGGTGAGTTGGAGCCTGGGAGCTCAGCCCGGAGTCCGCCTGAGCTATTCTCCCTCTGCCCCTCCCCCTAGTGGGGGGGGTGCTCTCCCTCTAAAATAAATATATAAATCTTTTTTTTTAAGATTTTATTTATTTATGTGACAGAGAGAAAGAGACAGCGAGAGAAGGAACACAAGCAGGGGGAGTGGGAGAGGGAGAAGCAGGCTTCCCGCCGAGCAGGGAGCCTGATGATGCGGAACTCCATCTTGGGATTCCAGGATCATGACCTGAGCCAAAGGCAGACGCCCAAGCACTGAGCCACCCAGGCGCCCCTAAATATATAAATCTTAAAAAAAGAAAAGAAAAAGAAGGAAGAAAGAAAGAAAGAAAAAGAAACCATTGTGATCAGTCAGGACCCCCGCTGGAAACAAATGGCACACTCCAAATTGGAAATCTGAGGTGCATTTGTTAAAGGAATTATTTAAGCATGGACTGGTAAACCACAAGGGTGGGGAAGTAACCTGGACTCAGTGCACCATTGTCAACCCTAGGCTGGTTCCCAAAACCCAAAGAGAAGAAGAAAGGAGAGGCTACCTGCCTGAGCTGTGGTCATCAGTGACACCAGTGGGAGGGCTCCGAGGTGATAAGCATCCCGACCGACTTCCAACCTCCTACCAGAATTCTCCATGGGCTGAACACATTCGGAAGCCAGAGACCTAGGGAGCCCCTTTAAGGAAGTCTCTGCAGGTTACTCTCCCAAGAACACAGACTCCGTGGGAAAGGGTGGAGAGTAGATGGGGTAGAGAGGCAAATGGAAGACATTCAACACACATAAGAAACTAAGATTAGTCTTAGCTGAGTAGAAAGTAAAGTCAAAGCTACGAGGTCAGGGCTGGAAAATGGTGTGGGCACAGAAGCAGAGCTGTAAACAGCAGAGCCTACGTCTGCAGATGTCCAGACCAAGACACCAAAAGGGATTCAGTCCTCCTTGGCTCCCCCTGCCCTAGACCGAGGTCACTTACTCCAGTTGTTACAGCCACGCACTCTCTGGAGCTCACTGAGAGCAAGACTTTGCCTTTTACTTCTTTGATGTCCCTCCACAACCCTGAACACTGTGTGATTTCTTGGAAGTTAGGTCATTCTGCCCAACAGGTCAGAGAGGGATCGTTTTCTCTAAGGTCCTGTTCTACAATCCTGGGCAGGTATATAGAGCCAAGCCCAGTTCTTGGATATCTTACAGAGCCCAGGAAACCTCTCCTAAGCCTTGGCAAGTAGGGGCAGGTGTTTCTGAGTTCACGAAGGGGAACGTGATACCCAAGATCTGAGTGTAACGTCAAAATATCTTGCATTGCCTTTGGACTCACAGACAAGATACTCTTTAACAAAAAAGTTTCCATATGTAAGAAACTCCTGAGAATGTCTGGGTTTTATCTCTTCTCTCTTATCAGAAAAATGCAATAGGTACAAAGAACATGATAATATTTTATGGTTTCTCTACTACCAGGTTATTTTGCAGCATAATGGGACCTTGGAGCCCTGGACTGGAAAGCAGTTTATTTTCAACCAAGAAACAGCTGTTCTATTTGTATGCTTTTCACTTGTACAGTCTAGAAACGTTTAAACAGAACATACTTGACAAAGATTTTTGAGCCTCTAAAGCTGTTCATAGATTCAAGTAATTAACTATTCAGGAGCCATAAATCTGGGAGATATAAAGACTGACCCTATAGGGACGCCTGGGTGGCTCAGTGGCGTTAGGTGTCTGCCTTCAGCTCAGGTCATGATCCTGGGGTCCTGGGATCCAGCCCGGAGTAGGTCTCCCTGCTCAGCTGGGAGCCTGCTTCTCCCTCTCCCTCTGCTTCTGCCTCTCGCCCCTGCTCGAGCTCTCTCTCTCCCTCTCAAATAAATAAATAAAATCTTTGTTTAAAAAAAAAAAAAGACTGACCCTATAGCCGATACCCAACACCTAAATTAATTTCATTAGTTCACTCAACAAAAGTCCTTTGAGTGCCTACATGCCTGGTTCTGCAATAAGTTTTGAATCAGGCAAGAGCATATGGGTCAATTTAGTGAGAAAGAAGAAGTTCAGGAAGTGCTCTTTCAACAGGAGTGAACTGGAACTGGCAACCTTGACCATCTAAAAAAGCTAAAACTATACAAAAGAGGAAACGAGTCTTCATTTTTCTCCCATAGGCAACTCTGAATTACTCAGTGACCAGAAAAATGATTTATGGATTCTGCAGGCCTCTGACTTTTCACTACTTCTTTCATTGTCCGACTTGTTACTACTTGTTATCAGTATATAGCTTACATACACTTGGCCTTGGATGGATTAAAAAGGAAAAATCCAAGCTGACAAGCAAAGAGAAAGCCTGGTAAAGAGACTCAGAAAAGAAGTATTTGGTGATTTTGACCCAGCAGGAGAAATTTTCCTTCCCCCAGATTATATTCACCCTAAAAAGATATCTTCCCACAAAAAACTCAACAACACACATGACTTGTCCCTCCTGCTGCTGCTGCACTGAGCTGGGGCAGACATTTGTATCTGGAGGAGAGTAAACCTCTTTAAGACAAGAAGGGATCTGGCAGGAGCAAGGTAAGCAAAGTAGTTAAGAGAGCTGGAGCAGAGTAGCTGGTAAATTTCTGAACTTAGTTCTGAACTGGGGACAACAGGCAGAGATTCAGAAATTTTGCAATTGAAATACTGGTTCTGATAGGAGAGTCTGCCTGCCAGGAGTATTTACTTTCCCTCCCCAGCAGCTGAATCTAGGTGCATGGGGCACCTAGGTGGCTCAGTCGGTAAAGCATCTGCCTTCAGCTTAGGTCATGATCCCAGGGTCCTGGGTTCGAGCCCCACATCGGGTTCTCTGCTCAGCGGAGAGCTTGCTGCTCCCCCTGCTTGTGCTCTCTCTCCCTCTTTCTCTCTGTCAAATAAATAAATAAAATCTTTAAAGAAGAAATCAGGTACATGGGATACCTGGATGGCTCAGTCAGTTAGGCGTCTGACTCTTGGTTTTGGCTCAGGTCATGACCTTGGGGTTGTGGGATTGGGCCCCGCATCCAGCTGCACACTCAGTGGAGAGTCCGCTTGAGATTCTCTCTCTCTCTCTCTCCCTCTGCCCCTGCTTGCATGCACACCCTTGTTCTCTCTAAAATAAATAAATAAATATTAAAAAGAAAAAAAAGAAAGAAATCTAGCTGTAGCTCCTGTCCTCCACATGACACATTCCCTGGTGACAAAGGCCACAGGGGTCACTCACCTGCGGTCCTTGTTGCACTACCATATACTTCTAATTCTATCTATATCCTATCATCCCACGGAGACTCTAAAGCCCTTGAAGGCTGAACTTGTTTTGCAGGATTTTTACAGCTTCCCAGAACCCATCTTCATGGTGTTCTTAGTAGGAATGATTATTCTACACTGCATTCCTGGGGGCAGGAATTCGTGGCAGAGCCAGTGGCCATTATGGGAGTATGATCCTGGAATTCCAAAAGCCCAGGCTGCCCAAAGCCCTCCCCGCTCTTACACTAGTAACAGCCATTCAGATTAAGGCCCTAGAAGCTTGGGTTGAAGAAAAGAGGACACTTCAAACCATTATTGTTACTTATCTAAGTGCTTACTTATCTTACCACTTGGTGTGGTAAGTTTATAAAGTTGAGTGCTGGAGAGAAGGAGGTGGACCAGTCCCTAGCACGGGTCATGAGACCTCCGTATCTCAACTGGGTCCAGAAGGGGAGCCTCTGAGAGGGCTTGGGCGCTGGTCACAACAGCTGGAGGACACTGTGTGCCTGGAAAGCTAAGTAGAGAAAGAATGGGAAATACCAAAAAGAATCATCAACCAGGCCGATTCGGTTCACCCACCTAGAGGGGAAGCCCATTTCAATCAGCTCAACAACAAGTGTTTAGAGACTCAGCTCATGGACCTGAAAAGTCAGCTAATTCCGTTGATTTTTGGCTCAGGTCACGATCTCATGGTCATGATCTCAGGGTCTTGAGATCCAAACCCCTGTCAGGGCTCTCCACTCACCAGGGAGTCTGCTTGACAACCTCTCTCTCTCCCTCTGCCCCTTCCCCACCTCCCTAAAATAAATAAATAAA